TATAGCATAGAATGTGTTCATTGTAATGTTTTAGCTTCATGTTACAAAGGTACTGCTTGTGTAAAAATACTGACTGGTTATCATTCTTTCAGTGATCAACTATGTATTGAATATCTGTCAAACTTGTGCTAAAAAAGTAGGGATGTGGAAATAAGCTTAAACCCAGTATGGTGTGTATCTTCATAGAACTTAGACACTAGTTAAAGAAGATAGACATGGATCAAAAAGACTCAAAAAATACAATATAGTGTTATAAGAGCTTGTAATAGAGAGATCTGACAAGGAGCTCAGGGAAGGCTTCATGCAGGAAATAACATAGTTGAGATAAAAAACAAAACAAAACTGGGTAGGTAATTCAACAGAAAAAAATGAGGAGAGAAACACTGGACTAAGAAGACAATTATGCAAAAATTCCTGTAGGCAGGAGTATGCCAATATGAGAGACTGGGAGAAAGCAAGAGTGTTTAGTTTGAGATGGTAAAGGAGAGAAAGGTAAAATGAGATACTGGAAAAACATTTTAAAGTAAGATCATGAAGGCACATAGACTCTGTTATAGAACTTTAATTTTATAAAAATTGAAAGCCATTTAAGAGTTTTAGTATTTCTGTAGAGAGAAGGGAGCAGATGAATGTGGGTAGACCAGTTGAGTAGTTCTTATATTACAGGACCTGAGGGCATAGCTTTGTTTAGTGTGGGAGTAGTACATAAAAAGAGAATGGAATAAATTCAAGAGATATTTAGGAGGCAAAATCAAAAGATTTTGGAGTTGGATAAGATATTATCACTAGTTTTCTCACTTGCACGAATTGATATATGGTGGTTCCATTAATTGAGACAAGCAATAGCAGAGGAGAGCAGGTGTGGTAGGGGAAATTATGAATTGGATTTTAGACATGTTGAATTAGATATACCTTTGCAATATCCAGAGGATATTTAAGGAGATGTTCGATGTATGAATCTAGATCTTAGAGATAAATTGGGAAATGTAATTTGTAAGCCTTCTGTATAGAGATCAAAATTAAAGCCATGGATATAAATGAAATTATCTCTGGAGGTTGTGTTTGAATAAATATGAAATGATGATTTGTTTTTTGGCTTTCCACATATGAAAAGATAGCTGCTGATCTATTTATGTCTACATTTCTTGAAATGATTTAAACAAATTTCAAGTTCTTTCAAGTGATCATTCACATTTATCTACTTGCGAGATGCCTGAAAATATTGAGATTTTCAACAGCCTAATAAAAATAGAGTTATAGGAGAAGATAGACTTGTTATATTATTGAGCTGAGAAAGGAGTGAAAAATCAAAGCTAAATCTCTTTTTATTTAACTAGGCTAAAGCCATGACATAAATCAAACAAATCTAACTTAAAACATCATACTGCTTTAAATTGGTTTAAAGTAAAAATATATACATATATTTTTGGAAATGATTTTTTGGAAAATTTGTCAAATTATACAGACAAAAAGCTTAAAGATGTCTGCATTATAATCAATCAGAATTCGCTAAGTTGTCTTATTTCCCTGCTAAGAACAAAATCTACTTTTGTGCATTTTTCACAGTCATTAATAGTAAATGCAAATACTAGTTGCATATCCTACAGCATATTAGAGAGAAATCCAGAAGAATGTATTCTACCTGAAAGGCATCCCTGGGTGAGTCTAGAACTGGGGAGATTTATTCTAGGGAAGCATTGTTGGATTGAGGAATAAACAAGGCGGTGATGAGTAGGTTCTCAGTAAGTGTATTCTGGAAAAGATTATGCATTTCTGATGAATTACTAAGTATAAATTGGTCAGTATAAAATATTTAAATGTGAAAATTAGTATTTGTCAATTACTTTACTGTAAAATACAAATCAGTCACAAATTCTTTTGATGAAAAATATATGTTTCGTCCTTGACATCACAGTAGCTATGATCTTGAATAAACTGTTGTATGTTATTTTAACATTGTCTCCCTGCCCTGATTTTAGTTAGCTTGGTAAATTAGAAGCCCTCTCAACAGAAAGCTCTCTCTATCCTATTTACCTTACTAGTTACCTTCCTTCTTGGTACCTCAATACCTATGAAAACTGCAAGATACATGATCGGTGATGACAGGAAGACTAGTGCCAGTGAAAAAGGTTTATGCTAAATTCAAGTTGTATTTGTGGTGAAAATTTTAAAAAAAGAAATCATTCAAAGAAATGTAAAATGTAGCAAGGAAGAAAAAACAAAACAAACGAATTCATTCGTAAACCAGAATATTCACTTTTAAAATCTGAAGGTTGGTATTAATGTAGCTAAACAACAAATCCTGGCTTGTAACCTCTTTCTTTATGGCTTGTTAGGTTGTTTCATGACCTGAAATGCACTGCTTTTCTTCACAGTCTAGAAGAAAAAGATGGAGAATATCTGCCAGGCAACTGAGAAGCAGCCTCCAGGGGTGTTTAGGAACATGGGGCTAGCTTGATTTGTGGCTTGTGTTTACTACTGATTAGCTCTGTGGCCTTGCACACTTGATTCTCCATGTAGAGTACCTGTTTCTATACCTAAGAAAGGCTTTGCTCCTGGCATTGTGAGATCAGGTTTTAATAGGTCATCTATGTGCCCTCCACCTGTCAGTAGTCCATGTGTGCTGCTTTCTTTGCCCCCAGACAGGGCCGGAAGTGAATCTTGATTTCAACATTTCCAAACTGTGAGAAACTGAGAAAATTACTTAACTTCTCCGTACCACATTTTTCCCATTTGAATAATGGGGGAATTCATAGCAGGTATACCTCACAGTACAATCTGAGGATTAAAAATGACTAATGCATGTAAGGCCTTTAAATGTTTAGTGTTATTATTATTACTTATTATTATTTATTATTATTATTTAGTTCATGCTAAATTGAAGTTCTAATCAACATTCATTATATTCATCATAAAGTGTTTATTTATATTGTACATTTGTGAGCATGGAATCCAATGATGCAATGAACTTCATTTGGAAAGGAAAATCCTGTAATAGATTTTTTTCCAAATCTTTCTTCACTATAGTCACTAAAGTTCCTCTCCCTTTCCTCCTTCCTCTAGCACCCAGTCTTTTCCCTGTGGGTCCTAGGCCTGGCGGGTCCCAGGTCTGGCTGTGATCCGGGCTCGTGACTAGGAATAGGACCCCGGATTTAGAATGTTACATTAGTGTAGTAGGGTGCCTAAAATATGTAAACATAATTCAGCTTATTGTATCACGCATGTGTGGCTGAATGCCATTATTCATTATTGTACTGTGGTATATGTAGAACCATGTGGTCCCTTGGGGAGCACAAGAAGGAGAGCAGAAGAAGAGCAGAAGCAGAAGTCTGCTCCCTGCAATAGACTGCAATTCCCCCAATAGAACTGTGCTCCCCACAATAAAGTTGATGCCTGCAGTTTCATTCTCATGTCAGCCTCTTGTGCATTCTTTCAATTGGGCGTCTCACCACCGAAACCTTCTCTTCTCGATCAGCTCGGCGTTGACACCCCTCATACCCCATCCCTATCTCTTCTTTCTTTAACTTTCCCAGGCTCCTCCTCCTCCATTATATACTAGACCAGTTATGAAGGAAATGATTTTGTAGACAGAAGAGTGGGTGTGTGTGTATGTGTGTGTGTGTGAATGGAAAGTAACAAAATTGTCTTATGCAAATACTAAAGCAATCATTATAGTGTCTTATACAGTGTCATCGTTTCACTTTCATAATAAGAGGAACTCTTGGGAGGAATTCTTGTGACCACCAACCAGGATGCCAAATTTCAGAGGGTGAGAAGGTGAAGCACTGACTTTAAGATACAACCTAAAGCAGTTGGTTTAATTATTATTCCTTTCCTTCTACATCCTTTTTTATTCTATTATGATTATTATGCTTTTGCATTAGGTGTCTTAAGTGTAGCTCCTATAATAATGGTATTATAAGAAAAGAACCTGTGAATGAAGTGGATGTTTCTTTAAATGTCTTTAATTTCTTATTTAAAAATATTTCTAATTGTGATTAAATAAATATTTTTTATGTAAACATATAAGATATAAAGGTTCTCTTTTTATTTGTGAGCCTTTACTTCAAGTTAAAGAATTTGAGTAAGTCAAGTGCAATTTACTGTGTCCTTCCATATGGACGTACTTCAGTATGAAACTGGGTTGTTTGTTTGCACGGTGGCTTTTGTGTTTGAGGTGCTTTCTGTGAGCAATTCACCACAGACTGCGATATATCGCTGTTGGTTTTATCTTGATGATTTAAAAAAGCTGTGCTTAGAAGTCAGGTGCAGGGTGAATTTTAAATTTTCATAGAGGTGTATGTAGCCTTACTAGTGGATCTAAGATTTGCTCTGCTCCGCTCTTTGCTTTGAAGGCATATTTCTTCATTTCATCACAAGATTTCTGAGGAAAATGTAAACCTTTTCATCTTCAGTTATGCTACTTTTTATTTCAAGAGGAGCCTTTCTGAAATGGCAGCTT